TATATGTATATATATACAGTTTTTTTTTTATATATATATTTATATATATATATATATATATATATATATATATATATATATATATATATATATATATATATATATATATATATATATATATATATATATATATATATATATAAAATATAAGACATATTGTATTATATAAGACATCAAAATCCATAATAAAACCCAAAGATAAATCATCCGATAAGACATTTCCCATCTATTCCCAATAAAAGCAAGTGTCTCTTTACAGTCAGGAAGTTTCTCTCCTACCTGTGAGTTTGTCGTCAGCTGAATGTGCCATGCAGGATCTAATGTTTAATTTCTACAGCACTTTCTAGAAAACTATTGGTCTTCTCTCAGGGTTTTTCACTCACTATTTACTTCTCGTTCAGCGCCTGCTCCTCTTTCTCTATAATCCTGCAGTGCATTAGTTATGCTCTAATCCTTTAATGTCTTTCCACTTCATCTCTATTCACTCGGCCTATAAATAACTCTTACGGGGAGAGCCAGTCAATGCTGCAGTACATACAGTAAGCACAAGGTGGCAGTTCAGCTCATTGTAGTTACAGTATTGTGATGTCTAAACATATTGTTGCACATCAGAATGACTCTTATTTCACAATCATTAAATGCTCAATAATTTAATATTATTTACTCTGTAAGACACAAGGTATTAAAAGCAAATTTACATGACAATTACATCACGCAGAACAATTTCTAAATGTTGTTTTCTCATTGTAATTTAGGGTTGGATTTTTTTATTTATTCAGATTTATTTGTATTACATTTTTATTCATTCTTCTCTTTGTTGGGTTTCCATTTTTTGAAAGTAACAAAATAATTTTTACGCTAATAAGTCAATAACTGTTTATATTTTAGATCTGACAGTGAGGTTTCTCAGAAAACTTCCACACATACAGTACACGACATCAGTCATATCCATATGTAAAGTAGAGCTACACTCACCGGCCACTTTATTAGGTACAGCTGTCCCACTGCTCGCTAATGCAAATGTCTAATCAGCCAATCACACGGCCGCAACTCAATGCATTTAGGCATGTAGAGATGGTCAAGACAATCTGCCGCAGTTCAAACTGAGCATCAGAAAGAGGAAGAAAGGTGATTTAAGTGACTATGAACGTGGCATGGTTGTTGGTGCCAGACGGGCTGTTCTGAGTATTTCAGAAACTGCTGATCTACTGGGATTTTCACACACAACCATCTCTAGGGTTTACAGAGAATGGTCTGACAAAGACAAAATATCCAGTAAGCGGCAGTTCTGTGGGCGCAAATGCCTTGTTGATGCCAGAGGTCAGAGGAGAATGGCCAGACTGGTTCCAGCTGATAGAAAGGCAACAGCAGGGCCGGATTAACCAATGTGCATTATGGGCACAGGCCCAAGGGCCCATCCGCAAAACACCTCTAAAAAAGGCTTTTTCAGACATGAAATATGTACATATGTACATCACTGTAACATTTTATTCAAGAACATTTGAGCTGGTTTTAGTTCAATTTAATTCAATTTTTCAATTCAGCTTTATTTGTATAGCGCTTTTACAATGTAGATTGTGTCAAAGCAGCTTCACATAAATGGTCATAGTAACTGGAACAGTGTGGTTCAGGTTTTAGTGTTTAAGTTCAGCTCAGTTCAGTTTAGCTCAGTTCAGTGTGGTTTAATCATTACTGAGAGTTCAAACACTGAAGAGCAAATTCATCGATGCGTAGCTCTACTGATCCTGAACCATGCGAGGCAGTGGCGACAGCGGAGAGGGAAAAAAAACTTCACCTGATGGGAATGAAGAAAAAAAACCTTGAGAACCAGACTCAGTTTGGCACGACCATTTTAATTTCTCCATTGGCCAATAGTCTTGTGCAGAGCTTCATAGTTCTTAGCTCTTTCATTTTCATTTCTTTTAAAATATATTTAAGTTGCTTGTTAATTAAATCCCATTTTTTTATTTAACCTATTATTCCTATGCAACAGTCAAGTTACATGTTAATTTGCTATGAAGAAAAGAAAATAATACATTTTTTGCATGCTGATTTACGTAAAATTGTGAATATAGGTCTATAATCACCTTGCAATTTTGAAATTCAAGAGTTCACACTTAGCTGATGATTGATTATAAGCAAGTTTGGCATGCTGTCCCGGGAGAGAGCCCTGAGCTCGAAGGTTCTTGAGCCCTGGGCTCCCTCCCGTTTGGAGGAAGAGAGGGGAGCCTCGAGCTCAGGTAGATCTCGACAACTCCCCTTTTTATAATAGCTAAAGATTAAGATTGACGGCTATTAAAAGATGTGCTGCATTATTAGATTACCTGTATTGAAATTTAGATTTAACGATTAACTTGTTGTGCATGTTTTTGGAATGTGGGAGGAAACCGGAGAACCCGGGGAAAACCCACGCAAGCACGGGAAGAACATGCAAACTACACACAGAAACGACCACCGGCCTGTTAAGGAACTAGAACCGGTGACGTTCTTGCTGTGAGGCGACAGTGCTAGTCACTGAGCCACCGTGCTGCCCTATGGAGGGAAAGGTGAAAAGGTAGGGGTGGAAGGGGGGATTCTTCAAATCGAAGATGACTGTAGTGAGAAAACCCTGGCTCTTTATAGTGGTTAGGAATGGCCTGATTGGTGGATCGAGCATGCTAATGCAGAACCAGCCGTGTTCAATCATAATCACGTGCTCCTCTCGAAATTAGTTTATGAATAAACTTCACTTATAGCTTTTTTGCTTTGAGTATAGACTATTCAGTTCATAAGAGCAGTTCAATCTTTTATGAAGTTTGCTGTATAAAAATATAGCATTTTGAAATATTTATAATTATCGGCCCATACATATCGGCTATCGGCCTCCAAATCTGTAGAATTATTGGTTATCGATATCGGTCAAAAAATCCATATCGGTGCATCCCTACTCAAAACACAGCCATTACTCATTAAGATAACAAGCACAACATTGTTAGACCATGCGCCACAGCGCAAACCATATTTTCCCATCCTTAAAATAGCAAGAGTGCATTCTGAAACCTCTTAATGCTTTTGCACCATGTGCTTTAGACTTTGTGCCTAGATCATTGAAATAGATGTGACCACAGCAAAAGAAATAAAAAATTTGTGACTTAAAATAATTTTTAGATGGCGAAAATACAAATCAAAGTCAAAAACAAATTAAAATTATTATCCAAAATATGTTTAACAGAGCACGGAATTTTTCACCTTATTTCCTATAATATTTTTTCTTTTGGAGAAAGTCTTATTTCTTTTATTTTGGCTAGAGTAAAAGCTGTTTTAAATTTTTTTTAAACTATTTTAAGGTCAATATTAGTAGCCCCCTTAGGCTATTTATATATATTTTTCAATTTTATCGCCTTTATACCTTAACTTGTTTAATTTGGCAAATAACCTAGTTAAGCCTTTAAAGTCACTTTAAGATGTATAGAAGTGTCTTGAAAAATATGTAGTAAAATATTATTCACTGTCATCATGGCAAAGAGAAAATAAATCAGTTATTAGAAATAAGTTATTAAAATGATTAGAAATGTGTTGAAAAAAATCTCTCTGTTAAACAGAAATTGGCGGAAAAAAAATATACAGGGAGGTTAATAATTTAGGAGGGCTAATAATTCTGACTTCAACTGTAAGTGTGTGAATGGGCATGTTAGGTTGTTAAACAGCAGTAAAAGGTGTTTATGAATCTGTGATGTAACGGAGTCAATGTGTTTCCTGACAGGATAAACATAAAGTGGCCAAAAATAAAAAGCAGCACAAACACTGAGATATACCCACACAATGAGACCGCACACACTGGCACTGATTGGCAGTCAACAACAGGATGTGTGTGTTAAAGATGTTTGTGATGATATACTGTACACTGCAATCCACACGAGAATAAACCACCGTCACCTTTGCTTATCTCCACAGACTGATGTACACAAATATAAATCACACTAAGTGCTCCAGCAGCGGCGTCTCTTCTGTAATCAAGGGTTAGTCGAATCCTGCATCCACACCTGCTGTTTGCATCCTGTTGATCAGCGCTCTCAGTCAGAAGTGATTGTGTGCTGGTCAGTGAGTCAAGATGAATAAAGGTGAATCAGTTTAAAAACAATCAACATCACATCATTGTTACAATATACACTGTGAATATATCTGGTAATCAACGGTTTCTGTATTTTGTGAGTGTTTTCATTTTAGATATGTTTGTGAGTTGCATAATGGGATGTTGAGCTCTGCTCTGTTGACTTTTAATGTTGAAAATTCAACTCTACGGTTTAACAAAGAGACTTTTATTGACATTTTAGTAGTTTTTAATTAAATAATAAGATTTAAATAAATAATATATAGAGAAATAAGTCTGTGAATGTACTGGCAGTTTATTACAAGGCTTTTGTAGCATAATATACAACGCCAACCCAGACAGTAAAGCACTTTAATCTGTTAAAAATGTTTATCAGAGTTCCTTTTTTGGCTTTTCAAGGGTAAAAGTTGATGGAAGAAAGATCAAGGTCTCATAATCCAATTCAGAAGAATAAATAAATGGGTAAAAATAAAAACATGAATCTCAAAATACAGAAAACTGCTCATTTAATGATATTTTTTTACAGTTTAGTTACTCTAAACCTTTTTTACCCAGAAGGCCATTCGCTTCTGTTTGGCAAGCCCGCCAATACAGGTATATGCCTGCTAATACAATGGATCGGTTTCTGAGACCCCCCCGATTTAAAGCCTTCAAGTTCAGGGCTTAAACCCAAAAGACGACGATATGATGATAAGTATTTGAGTTTAGGATTTACGTGGACAGGACCAGCGGATGAACCACGACCTTTATGTGTGGTTTGTCAAGATATTTTGGCTAATGACAGCATGAGACCCGCTAAACTTCGACTGTTTTGACTGGGATGGACAGTTCTTGGATCTGTTCTATTCATATTGAACCATCATCCTAGTTTTAAAAACGTCATATTAAAATACTTGTTATTACTCTGTAAATAATTGCACTTTCATGCAAATGATGATAAAAGTGAGTTAACAGTCTGACATCTGTCTGTGTCTTTATATATATATGCTGTGTATATATATATATATATATATATATATATATATATATATATATATATATATATATATATAAAAAAA